AAATATAAGGAATTTTGAAAGCAGCAAAAGAAAAGTGAATTATCACTTACAAGGGAACCCCTCATAGGACAATAAATGGATTTATCAGTCAAAACCTGGTAGGCTAAGACATATTAGTACAATATAGCCAAAGTGCTGAAAGCAAAAAATGCTGCCAACAAAGAATACAATACATGCCAAAACTGTTTTTCAGAAATGAAGTAGAGATTCAGATATTCCCAAACAAAAGCTTAGGAATTCATCACCACTAGTCCTATGCTACAGAAAATGCTAAAGGAAGTTATTCAAGTTGAAATGAAGGGATGTTAACTAAACATAGGAAAACATATGAAAGTATAAAAGTCACTGTAAAGAAAAGAATATACTCAAATTCAGACACACTAACACTGTAATGGTGGTGCATAAGTCAATTTTAACTCTAGCATAACAGTAAAAAGACCAAAGTATTAAAAACAACTATATCTATGATAATTTGTTAATAGATGCACAATGTAAAAAGATGTAGATTGTGACATCAATAACAAAATGTGTGTGGAATAAGTTAAACTGTAGTGTTTTGTACACAATCAACATTAAGTTATTATCAGCTTAAAATAAATGTTATAACTATAAGATACTTCATATAAACCTCATAATAATCACAAAGGATAAAACTTGTAGTAGATACACAAAAGAGATAAAGAATCAAAGCATACCTCTATTTTAAAAAATCATCAAATTACAAAGGAATACAGCAAGAGAGGAACAAAAAAGAAGAAGAAACTTCAAAACAGTAAGAAAACAATTAGCAAAATGGCCGCAGTAAGTCTTTACATCTCCATAATTACTTTAAATACAAATGGATTAAATTCTCTATTGGAAAGAAATAATATCTGAATTGATACAAAACAAGACCCAGCATATGCTGCCCGTAAGAAACTCACATTAGTTTGAAAAACACACATGGACTGAAAGTGAAGGAATAAAAAAAGTATTCCATCTACATGGTAACCAAAAGAGATCAGGCGGGGTCTATACTTATATAAGCCAAAGTAAACTTTAAGTCAAAACTCTCATGAGACAAAGAAGGTCATTACGTAATCATAAGGGGGTCATTTCATCAAGAGATGTAACAGTTGTAAATATGTGTACAACCACTGTTGGAGCACCAATATATGTAAGGCAAGTATTAACAGAACTGAAGGGAGAAATAGACAGTAATAAAATAATAATATGAAACTTTCAGTACCCCTTTAGTAACAATAAAGAAATCATCCAGACAGAAATTCAGCAAGAAAACAGTGAAATCAAGCAATGCTATAGACCAAATGGAGCTAACAGTCATACACAAAATGCTTCCCCCAAAAGCAACAAATACACATTCGAGTACACATGGAATGTTCTCCAGAATAGATAGTCAGACCACAAAATAAATTTAAGACGATTAAAATCATATCAAGTATCTTTTCTAACCACAATTTGATGAAATTAGAAATCTATGGCAGGAGGAAAATTGGCAAAGTTATCAATACATGAAAATTAAACAACATACTTCTGAATAACTGATGCATTAAAGAAGAAATCAAAAGGGAAATTTAAAAAAAATATCTTCAGACGCTCTTTCCGGACCTGGCCGAGCAGGAGGCGCCATCATGGGAGTTGACATCCGCCACAACAAGGACCGAAAGGTTCGGCGCAAGGAGCCCAAGAGCCAGGATATCTACCTGAGGCTGTTGGTCAAGTTGTATAGGTTTCTGGCCAGAAGAACCAATTCCACATTCAACCAGGTTGTGCTGAAGAGGTTGTTTATGAGTCGCACCAACCGGCCTCCTCCGTCCCTTTCTCGGATGATCCGGAAGATGAAGCTTCCTGGCCGGGAAAACAAAACGGCCGTGGTTGTGGGGACCATAACGGACGACGTGCGGGTTCAGGAGGTGCCCAAACTGAAGGTATGTGCACTGCGTGTAACCAGCCGGGCCCGTAGCCGCATCCTCAGGGCAGGGGGCAAGATCCTCACTTTCGACCAGCTGGCCCTGGACTCCCCCAAGGGCTGCGGCACCGTCCTGCTCTCCGGTCCTCGCAAGGGCAGAGAGGTGTACCGGCATTTCGGCAAGGCCCCAGGAACCCCGCACAGCCACACCAAACCCTACGTCCGCTCCAAGGGCCGGAAGTTCGAGCGTGCCAGAGGCCGACGGGCCAGCCGAGGCTACAAAAACTAACCTTGGATCCTACCCTCTTATTAAAAAGATTTTGAATGCTAAAAAAAAAAAAAAAAAAAAAAAAAAAAAAAATCTTGAGACAAAAGAAAATAGAAACACAACATACCAAAGCTTTTGAAATACAGAAAAAGCAGTTCTAAGAAGAAAGTTAAAGCAATAAACATCTATATCTGACATGATCACTTATTCTAAGTGAAATACGCCAGGCACAGAAAGACAAATACACCATGCTCTCACTTATAAGTGGAATCTAAAAAAGTCAATCTCCTAGAAGCAGAGAGTAGAATGGTGATTGCCAAGGTTTTGAAAGAAAGGAAACAGAGAGATGTTGGTCAAAGTGTATAAGGTTTCAGTTATGTAGGATCAGTATTTTCTACATATCTAATGTACAGCATGGTAATTACAGTTAATAATACTGTATTATATAATTGAAATACGTTAAGTGAGTAGATCTTCAATGTTTTCACTACATAAAAGGTAACTATGTGATAATGGATATGTTAATTAGCTTGATAGTGGAAATCATTCACAATGTATACATATGCTAAACATCACATTGTACTCCTTAAATACAATTTGCCAGTTATACCTCAATAAAGCTGAATAAAGTGTTCATTAATCTAGAATAAACATTTTGTTATGTGCTTTCATAAAGTCCCTCTGCATTTATTAAAAATAGAACCAAGAAAACATTTCTATAAACATGATGGGCAATTAGTGGAGCCAAATGGGACAAAATCATTTCCAGATACAAGAGTTATATCTGAAATCACTGGCAAAATATTCTGGAACAGATTGTCCACTTTTTCATGTATTCAAATAGAACCAGACGAATTTTACGCAAAAGATTTTAGAGTTGCACTAAAATCATTCCTTGTCCTTCTATTCAGATACATGTGCTGATTAAGTTCCATAATTTTCCTAACGAGTCTATAACCTTTGTCAAGATTATTGCCAAAGCATGTGTAACTGTATTTAAGCAGCAACAAATAATATCAGTACTTGAAAATTATGCAGAATGAACCAACATTTCTCCCCAACCTTTATCAATATCCGACTATGAAAAAAATACTATTTATGAAAGCTATCCTGCAGAAATAAATATAAATTTTCTTATCTGTTCTAAATTTTATTTTGTGTAAAGCCAAAACTATTTGCTTAGGAACCCAATGTATTGTGTCTCCTTTAAAAAATAAATTTTTGCTAAAAATGCTCTTTGGCATCACCCATGAGTTTAAAGCCTACCATGAAAGACCATGGTAGAAAAGTTATTTTTGTTGTAGTTATTATAGGAATATTATTAAGGACATATTAACCATACTACTTGGTTTTTCTGTAAGGACTGTGGAAAAATCCCCACCTTACACTGATCTAGAGATGTCCAAGGACCAATCTCCCAGGGATACTGAGGAACAACTCTATCTTTTGTTGTAAATCTTTTCATTTAATAAGTATTAATGACAAGTGCACTTCATTTTATTTTACAATCTGATTTTCACTCCAGGTAACTGCTGTGGTTGTCTTCCGGGGCTGTTAGCAGTGCTAGAGAGAAAAGCCCCTCCTCACTGCGGACAGTACCACATGGCTGAGTTGAGCTTTTCAATGCACTGTCAACAGAAAGGTTTATTAAAGCAAACTACAAGGAGAAGTAGCATCTCTATCATATGGGTCAGTTTAAATTTGTACTATCAGCTCTAATTACTATGTTGTTTCAGCAAATGTCATCTGCTTTCATTATAATAGTTATAATATATGAATATTGAGTCCTAAGAATTAAATTCAAGGGAATACCTTTAATTTGATCAAGTGCCATTTCAGAAGCCTCCTTTTTCCCTAGTAGGATGAAGACTTAGGCATTATCATCACATATTGATATCTATAATTAAAGCATGGTATGTTATTAAAGGTAACAAGACTACTTCATACAACAAAAAATAAATTACAAATAGAATTTGTGAGAAGACATTTAAATAAAATTTTTAAAGTGATAAATTTAGAAGATGTAGTTTAAGGTATAAATTGAATCTGCAAAGAAGCAGCTACAGGACTTCCAAAATCGCTACATTCCCCTTTGAGCACCAATCTAGAGAGAGTTGTCCTAAATAAATAGGTAACTTTCTGAAGAGTTCCATGAAGTGGACTTTATTCCACATTGCTTTCCACATGGACATCTAACACAGAGCCTATGTTTAGCTAAAGATGCCTTCAGAAAGGTGTAGTGTTTCAAATCCAATCACATTAAATTCCAACATATGATACAGATATTCAGCCATTTTTAATTATGACAGTCTTTTTATCTTTAATTTTAAGACTTATAGCTATTTCACACCCAGAATATCAATACTGTATCACAAGCTGGGATGAAAACTTACCTAGGCTCTAGAGGGAAGTAATCCACATAACTTTGAAAGTTATATTGATGTGTTTACTGCTTCCCAATAGTACCCATAAAGTAAATGGAATCCTAAACTCTACCAAGATATACTTTTCAGACTGTCATAAATTCCATTCACACAGGATAGGATAGCCAACTCAAGAAGCAAACAAAATGATTGTAAAGAACATGGCTGTGCTGCATCTAAGCAGGCATAGGACAGTAGGCATAGGCCGAGGCAAATAGCCTGAATGACTCAGCAAGATTGTGGCGCACGCACACAGTTACGTGTCTTATGTAATCACAGCCAGGAAGCCATAACATAGGGAAGCTTACCACCTGGCTCTCAGCCACTATTGTTTGTGTGGTGTATAAATGTAACACTGACACTGTGAAGGAGCTGCTAAATAGAGCCATGTTTCATTTACCTGCTGTTTCTTGAATGTTCTTCCAGCTCCCTGCCCCACGTTTACCCAGTCTCCTCCGCTCTCAGCTGGGGCTGGAACCTGACCCTGAACAAGACAATGATGTACAAATTTGAACCAGTTCACTATGTTAGTCTTGGAGTGTGTGTGTGTGTATATGTTGTGGGGAGGGTAGTTATCAAGTAAAACTGCTTTCCACTTTACCCTCTGTTCTAAGCTATTTTACTGTTTTTAAAAAAATCACTGGGGTCAGATTTTATAAGGATAAATTCAAACTGGCAAAATACAAAAACGACAAAACAAAGTAGATGTAAGATCAACATGGGAGGATATCACATTCTTTTAAATGAAAAGCAAAGTGATAATTCCACTTCAATTCTGTTGTATTTGTGTTCTTGTTAAATTTTTACTGTGGAGGAGGATGACATTAAATTAGAAACTATACTTTCACAAAAATACAGTATTATCTGACTTTAATAAAAATATAAATTTGTCAATTGTTAATATAGTATTATACTTGATGTGACTATATATGTTCGATCCACATACTAGATAATATATAAATACTAACATTATGGACCAGAATGTAAAAATGCCTGCATTTCCTAACAAGATACTATAAGGCTTTGGGTATTTGAAATTTCTTGATGACAAAAACTAAAACTGGAATGGTGGTTTCCAGAGGCTTGGGGGAGAAAAAAAATAAAGAGATTTTAGTCAAGGGTAAAAAGTTTCAGTTAAACAGGATAAATAAGTTCTAGAGGTCTACTATACTACATAGATATAGTGTATACATATAAAATACATATATACACACACATACACTATAGTTAACAATATAATAGTGTATACTTAAAGTTTTGCTAAGTCGGTAGATCTTATATTAAGTGTTTTTATTGCAAAATGATAATAATAAGAGAATGGGAAGAAACTTTTGGAGGTGATGGATAGGTTTATGGCATAGATTGTGATGATGATGGTTTCGTGGTTGGATACTTATCTCTAAATCATCAAGTTGTATGCATTAATCATGTATAGCATTTTATATGTCAAAAAAAGAGAAGAAAAAAATTAAAAGATGAGGTGAAAGCTGCAAAGCATGGTTGAGAAAGTACAAATAACTATGGGAATTCATTCAAGGAAATTATCATATTTGCTTGATGGATTAAAAACTCTTTCATGAACCATATATTAGAAATAAGTTCAAATGCTGACAGGCAGATTTGAGAAAGATTTTTTTAGATAAAGTTACTGGCATAAGTAAAAATTCATGTTGGAAAATTTGAAGATATATGGTGGAGAGTTCAAATTAGATATATTGGAGTATTGGAAAATCTGGCATAAGCTTTTAATTGTAATTTAGGATAACTTTATCTCGGGTCTTAAACACCAGGGTAGGAAATTTGTACTATTTTCAGGCAGCATCAACAAGCAGTAAATGTTCACTGAAAGTATATTATGCCATTCTAGTGGCAGTATAGAAAAGTGACTCAACAACTCTTTATTGAGCAAGACTGGAGGAAAGAAGAATTAATGAAAGACAGCTCAGTTAAGAGACTATTTCAAGTTCTTTAACCTCTCTGTAATTCACATGCTCCTTCTGCTAAAAATAATAGCCTTATAATGTTATAAGAGTTTAATAATATATGAAAACAAAAGTGAGCATGGAAGAAACAGTAGCTCTTTCTAATATGATAAATTACGTAGATTTAGGAAAGTTGTATAAAACTGGAAAACATAATTTCTTTAATAAATATGGAATCATAGTGTTACCTGAGGGTTTTTAAAGGGTAAAATAAAATAACATTTGTTAACAACCTTGTCAGCAATGAAGTTCTACACAAATATAACATGATATAAAAGTGAATGGTATTAAAAAAAACAGAAGGGAAAATAATAAAGAAATATATTCACTACTCAACATATATAATTCACAGAGGGATTAGTAATCTTTCATCACCATAGACTATAGTCCTTAAAAAACCATGAGAAGCTTTAGACCCACATTTATTAGTTGCTGCTCAACACTGTGATCAAGGTTTGAAAGAAAACATATCCAAGGAGAGTTATCATCATTTTTCTGAAAACACCGGTGTCCAGGGATACTGGTAAAAATTCCCTGGAACATCATCTTTGCAAGGTGTACTGTGATACCATCAATAGTCTGCCTACTGCACTATGAAAGGTGTGTGGCTTCTTTTTGTTTTACATCATTAGTTATTGGTTCATTTAAATCCCAGACCAATGCCTTATTATTTCTACTACATATGCAATATCTAGATAAGCACGGTGATATAATTCACAACCCTATTCCCATTTTTTTACAGAAAATATTTTAAAAATTACTATCCCACAAAAACAGTCTTCCAAATGTGAAGATATAAGACATATTACTTATGTCTTTTTTAAAAGAGCTAATGTTTGTTATGTTCACAAATTTTCCCATCATTACAGGATAAGTGATGAAAACCATGGTGATCACAAGTAAGTCACTTGCACTACTGATTTGTAGAATTAAACAGATGCTGCCAACGCCACCACTAAATCTTCAAGGAATCTTTACAGAAGCCGACAAAAGCATGTCAATACTGAGAACAACGGAATGTAAAGTATGAATCGCTTAGGGGTATGTGGCTAGAAAATTTTTCCCCCAGTCAAAAAAAGAAAAGAAAACAAAACAAAACAAAAAAATACTGCAGAAATATTTTAGAGCTAGCAATTAACCTGCTGCTAAAGTTGGCATTGAATCTCCCAACATATCCCTTTCCCTCAGACCTCTAACGAAATCCGTCCATGAGGAATGCTCATTTCCTGCTGGGTAAGACACTGTGCAAATGTAGGATTTCACAGTTCACCAGAAGGATTATATCACTTTCCTTTTTGGAAGAAGTCCAGACTTCATTACAAAGGTGCATCACATTGTTATACTGCAGAAAGCAACATATGGCATTCTATCTCTCAGCAGCTAAAAATGGACTTTCAGCTAAAAAACTTGGTTGTGAAATAAACAGTACATGTTCAGTATGTACAAAGTTAGGAGTATAATCTATGAATTATGAACAAATATAGCAATATATGTGTGTTTTTAAACATGCCATTGTAGAAATACAATGCACAATTTATAATTGATAGATGCTATCATTTTCTTTAATTGGTAAAGGATATTAGAGTTAAAATGGTTTATACGTGATTGGTAACACTGCCAAAACTCAGGAGATAAGTAATCAGACACTTGTTTTTAAAAGGTTTGTTGCAACCATAAGCTGAGTTCCATTAAAGAAGATTAAATAAAATCAGACCATCCACACAAACTTGCACTAATGGGAAAAATGAATGGATCATTAGCTGAAACAGTCATTCATATAACATTGTTAACATAAACTGTATTAGCTTTTCATGACAGTTAAATATTATTAAAAGCTAGTCAGTTACAGATAGCAACCTATACATTCACAAGACTGATGATTTCAATCTAAAGGGCATGGTTCTGTTTATGACTTTCGTTCAGGTCTCTGCTGCTGGAAATACTGAGTCTATTATTTCACAGTGTACCTAGAGCCACAGTGTGATTTGGTGGCCAAATAACTGAAAATTTTGCTCTGTACTAGATGGAGATTAAATATGCACAGTAGGAGCATAAAATAGACAGCAGTAGTTTACCATGAAACTACCAAATTTCTACTTTTCTCTTTAAAGATATGTATCATTGTAAAGTTGGAATTGTGTGGCATTTCAAAATACTGAGAAAAGAAATGCATGCTTATGTCCCATGTTCTCATGCTGGAAAAATTTAGCAATATAGTTTCTAAAATCAGGTATGATTTCCACTTAAAGGCTGTAGTGAATGGTACTAACTTCCCAAGGAATTAAAAATGTTACTAATGTCATGTATTGGTACCTTCACTTCATTTCATGTGATTTCCTGTAGTATAGTGTAATTAATGGCTTGGGTATGAATGCTGATACTTCTTCACATTTCTCCCTCATTTATTACACTTCAGTATGTAAGCATTTGTTTTCCATAGATATAGCTGATGGCATCATCTCTAAATATGAATAGAAATGTTTAGTAATCTGTATGTAATTTGCTTTCCTTGAACTTTGCATCTCATGACCTCTCACACCATGTATATTGCTAAACTTACCACCCAACAGATCTCTCAATAAATGATCACAAATAAATGATGATGTCATTAAATATAGGTACTACATTCTTCACTGTGTGGGGAATGCCTTAATAACCGAATTATTCACATCCAATAAGGTTAGTAGCATTTTGCTTTTATACCCCTTTGGTAAGTTCTTCACTTGCCATATACAGACACATCTGCTAAGCACTTCTTTTAAATCTGAGCGCTCTTCTCTCACACTCCTTTCTAGAAGTTCCATGTTACTGGAAAGAAAACAAATATACAGAAAAATTAGAACAGCATTCCATCATGTCTCCTCACACTAGATGCACAATTACTCATAAATATGCACAAGTACACACACACACAAATTCTATATGTATACCTCAAATACTTGCCCAAGTAGTCTATGCATGTAATTTTGAGTTCCAATTGCTTTATTCTTTCCTTCAGAATATGAAAAAACTTGAGATAACATAGCATAATCACATAGATGGTAAAACCCAGCTAGAAACCTATATTTCTTCACGATGACATTTTAATGAACCAGAAAAAAATTAAAGCAAAGAAAATTTGCTCTTGCCCATAGTCAGACTAATGACTTTTGCATATATTGTTTTCAAATCATACAAGGAAGGGTTTGCTCTCATGCAGGATAGCACAACACCACACAAGCACACAGACTGCCACACACACACACACACACACACACACACACACACACACACACACAGAGTTTATTAGCTTAATAATGGACTTCAGTTTAATTTACAGCTATGCAATTGGCCAAAGATTTAGTACTTCTAGTGGCTTTTCTTCACCTTTTGTTATGGTGCCGTTTGATTGTATTTATGAATGTGACCTTATATCCTATACCAGCAGAAGAAAGTAAGATAAATTGGACTCCAAAACACACACATAGTAGCAGACAGTACTGTTTAAAGATTAATAAGTGATCTCACTATAGCACTTCAACTGCCTATAGCCTAAAACTATCTTTCCTCTGGTACTTTCCAGGCAGTCCCTGAAGGACCAATAAACCAAGAGCACTAGACAGATCTGAACTTACCTATCACAGCTTTGATTGTGCTCTTGTGCACTATGTGTTTCTTCTTAAAAGCATCTAATTCACTGCCTGTTCACAGCATTCATTATTTGAAGCAAAGGACACTAGGAGAAGTAAATAAAACTTTAAAAAGACATATTGTAAAGGGAATTCATTCCATTTTCCTTTCTTATGTATCAAAACCCAAAACCTTGTATTGCTCTAGAGATGTGATTTTCACACCACTTAATTTTTTTTTGCCAGATATAAAAACTGCACATTTCTAACTGCATTTCACCTCCTAGAATCTGTGCATTGCACCAAGATGTTCAGACATCTCATCACAAGGCTTCCAAGACATCAGTACCTGGGGGACCCCACTATGGGTCCTGAGGACACATATTCTTTTCACAGTGGGAATTCCAGAAGGGAAGAAGCCAATGTAAAGAATTTCGAACTCTGCCCATAGTCTACCTGTTTACCCCCTCCATGCTACGGATTTCATAATCAGAAACACTCCCACAATGTTTGACCCTCCTTTCCAACATCTGATCTCCAGATTTCTTCTTGAATAGCATCTGCAAAACTTCCTGTGACAGAAAATGGCTACAGAATCTATCCTGTTATTACTTAACATTAGCATGAGTAATTAATACTATGCAGTTGTAGTATTTTACAATTGTTTGACTAGCTAAAATTTATAAATGTACCCACGTGAATACACTTTCATTTGCAAAACTAAATATCAGATACATAACACTAAACACTGCAAACATGAGAAACTGTCTTTCAGCACTTGTTTCATTTTTTATGCAAAGATATCGAAAAACACAGTCAGAGCTCATTATCTTTAGCCTGAAGAAAAGGCTTGTGTAAAGACCAGATGAAAGGAGACAGCTAAAAATTAGAGTCAAACCAGATAATTCAAAGGAAACAATTTCTTTTGGTGGCTAAATGTCCTAATTTGTCTCTATTGAGGCATTAACCATGAAGTTTTCACATCATTCCTTTTGCATGAGTTTATGCCAGCTATATGAGTACAGAGAGGAGAATGGCAATGTCTACTTGTAAACCTCAAACTGAATTTCTAATTAGTATAGTTATTTCTAATGAATTATTTACATTTTTCAACAATAAAGGCAGTGATTTGTTATTTAATATTCTTTATATAATGATATTTGGCTGTTGAGAGTATCTTATCTTTTTGTTCTACTTCATGCAATGCTATTTTGAGATCTCCAACACACTTTATACCAAACAGGGTTTTCTGACAAATGATTTTCATTCTAGTATTTGTTTTCTTTTCTTTACTTTTCTTTTCTTTTTTTGAGATGGGGTCTCACTCTGTCGCCCAGGATGGAGTGCAATGGCGTGACCTCGGTTCACTGCAACCTCCGCCTCCTGGGTTCAAGTGATTCTCCTGCCTCAGCCCCCCAAGTAGTTGGGATTATAGGCACGCATCACCACATCTGACTAATTTTTGCATTTTTAGTTAGAGATGGGGTTTCACCATGTTGGCCAGGCTGGTCTTGAACTCCTGACCTTGCAATCCACTCACCTCAGCCTCCCAAAGTGCTAGTATTACAGGCATGAGCAACTATGCCCAACCTTATTTTAGTATTTCTAAGACTAGAGAACACAAGAGGCAGTGTAGCTTAAATAGGTACCTAATAAACAGCTATTGTTATAGAGAATATAATTCACCTTTAGAAATGATGCCTATTAGAAGCAATTACTAGTGACGCACAGTCAAGTTGTGTGACATGATTGTATTATCCATCAATCAAAACCAGCTATGTTATGACAAAAATACTCTAATAAACATATTGATGCAGAAATTATGACTTTTGCCTTAACCAATATCTTTAAAGTGACTTTTGTCACTTTCAAACAATTTTTTTTCTTTTTTTTTTTTTTTTTTTGAGATGGAGTCCCGCTCTGTCACCCAGGTTGGAGTGCAGTGGCACAATCTCGGCTCACTGCAACCTTCGCCTCCCGGGTTCAAGCAATTATCTTGCCTCAGCCTGCCGAGCAGCTGGGACTACAGGCATGCACTGCCAAGCTCATCTAATTTTTGTATTTTTAGTAGAGACAGGGTTCCACCATGTTGACCAGGATGGTCTTTATCTCCTGACTTCGTGATCTGCCCGCCTTGGCCTCCCAAAGTGCTGGGATTACAGGCGTGAGCCACCGTTTATGTCACTCAATTTTTATTTTATTTTTATGACCTTAGAGTTGGGATAAAAATGAACTGAGAAAAAATAATTTATAATTTGATAGAACTAGAATGAAACTTTGGAATTAGCACTTTAATCCTTACGAAAGCATTGAGGTGTCTGAAGTACAACATGTATTCAGTGCTATCTAATGAAGATATATATCCTGTGGCAAGCAGCAGGAATTCTATTATTACCACTTGTATAAAAAGGAAAGACATCTCCTAGCTTATAACTCCCTGGTGAGTCTTTCAAAGATGACCAAGACCATTTCCTGACATGGCTTATCCTGGGGAATTGCAACATCTTTGTAGCTTACATTGTGAGACATATCATGCTCATTTTGGCAGCACGTATATGAAAAAAAAAAAGTGATACATATCAGACTGCCTGCCAAGATTCATTAAATGAGTGGTCCACTATCCATTTTTTCTAATACATATGGAATTGAATGACACAGTCCAGTTTTTTCCCATAAGTATGTCAGAGGTTGAAAGCTCTACGAATACCAAAGGAATAATGACAACTTCACCAAAGGCATATTTATTGAGGACATTGGTCATTAAAATACTCTGAGTTATATTACATTCTTCACCAAAGGCATATTTATTGAAGACATTGGTCATTAAAATACTCTGAGCTATAATATATTCTTTCAGAACTTATGTCAATGAAAAACCTTTGGTTACACTGATAATCTTTTTGTAAGCAACCATATTACTTGTTTTCACTTTGATTACTAGGATATGCAGAATCCAAATTAAAGATCAACCTTAAAAACCACCATGACTCTACATTTTCTGTTTATGGCCTTCCCTTGGTTGGACTGATTTTATAATATTTTTTCTTATGATTCTATTTCTATTTCATCATCATTTAATCACATATATTATTTTCACAAGCTGATTTTAATACTTGGAATATTAAATCATCTCTACTTAATTTGGGGAACAGATTATTTAAAAATGCATAACAGCAGACTAAAATATCTGAAAGACTGTCAAGTAGAAGGAGAAGCTAATGTATACTGTGCTGTGTAACAGGGGCAAATAGGATTTTAAAGGAGCATGTGCTAGATAGTGAGCAAGAATTTTCTAATAATTCTTCAGGTCCCAAATGTAATGGGTTTCCCTGAAAAGCTGTGGAATCTTCAACACTGCACAAATTTAATCAGAGGCTAAATAACTATCCATCTGGCATGTTGACAAAAGTCTCTGGATTGGAAGAAAGGTTAAACTAGAAGCCCTCAAAAATCTCTTCCATTCTATGATTCTATAATTAAATACGCTATACTTAATGAGCCATTTGTTACCTTCATAGGGTGAGTAACTCATGGCACAAGTCTCCCTGCTGTCTTTCTGCCAGGTCTAGAAATTAAATTAAATTAAATTAAGTCCATCACCATATAAAACTAGGAATAAAGAAAAGTTATGCCATAATGACTTGAAGAGTCTTGAAGTTTGAATATTGACTTAAAAATTTCAGTTTTGTTGCCAGCAAGAATTCATAGCCTGTTCATATCACAAAACTAATACTCTAAATATGAGGGATCAAAACAGGAGAAACATTGTGATGCCATTCAAATTAAAGTATGACAAGAGTTTAATAAAATATATTTTAATGTTCTAAATATTAAAAAGTAGACAATTCGTCATATTACAGATATATTTTTAAACTACTTCCTATAATGAGAAACATGGGAAAGACTCCTGTCACCGGAAAGGTACACTTATTTGTTTGGGGAGGCATTGAAAATCCACCGTGAGCCAGTAAACTAAATTGAAATGACATATTTAATGCCTGCACACATCTATCATTATATTTATGCAATGTAAGAAAGATAAATGAATCATAAATTTGCTAAATTATTCACTGAGGTGAATCAGCTTAAGTGAATGAACTGACATATCATATATAAATATTTTAAGTGGACAAACAACTTTATAGGTAAATAAAACAAATTTTTGTTTCCTTTCACATTTGGTAGTCTCAGAGAGGTATACTTATTGTTTTCTTATTTTTGTTAGAAATAAATTGAAAAAGGCTTGAAAAAGTAAATATTACTTAAAGGTACATAACCAAAAGTTAAATAACCAGAGCAAAATATGCAATTTCCAAGTATTCAAGCTATTAAAAATTCCAAGATTACACAATTACAAAATTTTAAGCCCTAATGCCAACTGGATTTTGACTAAACAAAGAATGAATCAAGAATGATTGGGAAAAAGTGAAAACAAATCAAAACTAAAGATCAAATTGAAGGATGCCAATTGAAACATGTGACTGTTGTAATTAAGGAAAGGAATGGCAGACGCCGTATTTTTTAAATTTTGCAACAGATGGTATTTGTTTCTTGGGGAAGTAGTTATGCTCAAACCCTATAGAAATCTAGAAGAGTCTGGTGGCTATCAATGTCTTTAACTGGTATGAACTCCAGCATCCCTGATTTTTTTAAAGTCAAGTCTCTCCTGCCTTAAGCCTACCCCAGAAAGACAGGCTCTGCAGCCCTGCCTAGGAAATGGCTATGATACCTGAACTCATTGCAAACACTGTTCAATAAATACTCACAAATTATAGCTTTCTTCCCCAAATTTGGCATCTAAATACAAGAGCAACAAGATCTTATGAAAACATCTTAAGGACTGGGACCTTGGATCTACAATTTAAAATGTATATACTGGAACCATATAGTAACAGCATTTGTAAGATAGCAACATAATAGAGGTTTATAAGCAGATAACATAAAATTCAGTTTCCATTAGAGGTTTGTTTTCATTACAAAATATTTTAGATAAAAATGTAAAGAATAAAAAGTAGCAGACATTCTCATACCTACTAACCAGATTTGGCAAATGTTAATATCTTGCCTTGTTTGCTTCTGGTTTATATTGTTTTCTAAGAGTACAATT